TTTTTTTTTTTGGTGGGGCAGAGCTGTACTTGATTGAAATGACTGAAATTAGGGTTTTGTACTTTGAGTATAAGACAATTTTTGTTACGTAAAATGAAAAAAAAAAGGAGATTTAACAAATAGGAAAACGTGGGGATCAGTTAAAATATAAATATAAAAGGTATTTAGGAGTTAATACATTTAGATTAAAGTTCCAAAGTATATTTGGCTTTGTATTATAATGTGATTTAACATTTTACCAAAGTAATAAAATGACACACAGTATCATTAATTTTTCTTCCAAACTGAGGATAAGTTTATACTGTGGATCATATAATTTCAGAGACTTTTGTTGTTGTTGGAAGCCTTTTTTTTTCCTCTCAAGTATAGATTTTCCTTTCTCCAACATACCTAAGTTATAATTCACCTGAAATCCAGTTTTTTTTAAACTCACAGTTTGTAAGCTTATATGACAAAGTTAATTTCTTAGTATTTTTTTTTTTTTAAGATTTTTATTGAGGAATTTGGGGAAGCGGAACAGACAAGCTGCTGTCCTATTGTTCTTCAGTCTAGTTGTGGAGGACGTTGCTTCACTGGCCCAAGTTGGCACCATCATTGCGCTCTTCCCCGGCGAGGCAGATCAGTCGCCGGCTTCTGGACAGCCGCTCACTGCGGCTGCTGGCTGCTGGCTACACACTGTAGCCCATGGCAACCCTCTGCCACAGGGGCTGCAGCCTACGCCGTCNTAATTATCCCCGATTCTTAAGTTTTAATATTAAAACACCAAGGACACATTATTAAGGTGACTTAAGAAAGACTGGTGAAGTTGAGTGGGGTTAAGAGTGTAATCCTTAGAGTCAGTAGTGTATGTATGTAAAACAGGCCAATAAATAACAGCTGTTTATTACTGTTGTATTATTGTTAAACCATATCCTGTTCTCAAAGGATTTGGGGGAAATTTTAGCAACATAGTAAACCTAAGTCCCCACTTCAAATGTGTATTTTGTAACAGAAATTCAGGGTATAAGTAAGCCCTTCCCAGCTCCCAGATGTGTGTCCTTTAAGAGCTGGTAACATTAGAATCATAATGTATTACAGTCAGGTGATTTAGTCTGTAACTCTTGTTTTGCAGGTGAGAAAAATGAGTGCTGAAGGAAGGCTAAATGACTAGGCCAAAGTTGCACTTGATAGAACTGGGAGTGAGTTATGTGTAATTAGTTTGGCTCTTTTTATGCATTTTATTATATCACTTAACTGATATTTTCTGAAATCTTGGACAACCACATTTGCAGATTTTATTTTTAAACTTACTTTCAACTTCTTTGTCCTAATAGTAAACAGCTGTAAAGTACACAAGACTGTGAAGGATTAAGACAATTTTAATTCCCCAGTGATTGGCCAACATTAATTAAGCCTTTACAATATAGAATAAGGTAATATTCAGCCTCGTTTATATTAATATGTGATGCAGATTCAAGGGGAATTCAGAGAGGCAGTTCTAATTATGGTAAAGAGCAGGCTTTGGAATAAGCATACTTAGGTTCTAGGTATAAGTTATTTAACTTATTGAAGCCTCAGTTTCCTTCTCTGTAAAATGCAGATAATAGTAGTGTCAACCTTCTAGAGTTGTTGTGAGGATTAAAGACACGTAAATACACTTAGGCACTTGGCACAGTATCTGACACACAGTAAACACTCAGAAAATGGTAGCTTAATTTAAAGTGTTTCGTTGTAGACTAAGCCAAAGATTCCTCTCTGGCAGTGCCCTGACAATTACAAGAAACTGTTATTGTTTTTTGCTAGATAATCATTATTTAAAATAGAACTTTGTAATGACATTATAATGCTCTGCCACCATTTAGTCATGCAGAAGTTCTTCAACAAGATTCAGTCAAGCGATACCATTTCAAAATAAAGGATTTATTTCTTTCTTTGCTTTTCAGAGAATGCAGTTATATTGTGGATATGTAATTCTTCGAGGTCTTATATTGATGATGATTTTAAGGCAACCAAATATGTATTTTTCTGTTATCACCTCTGAGTCAGAAGGATGTTGTTACTGGTTTTGCTGTGTTAACTGTTGTATTCATTTATTCATTCTTAGAGGCAGAAACAATTGCTAAAGATTGCTGTGGCATGGATTATGGGACTAGGTACAAGACACTGCTTTGCTGCACTTGCTTCACTGCATTCATATTTTGATATTAACTTGCTTTATTTCATAGTCTATAACTGTACATTGAATTTGAAACTAATCTCAGTCTTTTGGAAGCAAGTTACAGATATAAAAAGTTTGGGGTAAATATAGAATTATGTCTAGGGATATTCCATTTGTAAAACTGTATTGATTGGTCATGTTAAATTCTTTCGATATATTAAAACAATAAGGTGCAAGAGTTGCCACTGCACATATTTATTTTGTTTGTTTTTTCTCTTTTAATTGATTTGGTAGTTTTGGACACTATGTTAAGCAGTAGGCCTCAGGAGTTGCACCTAGTTCTTTTAATTCATTAGGTAGTTTTAGATCATTCTCTTCTGCAAGTCCTTTCTCTTTAATAGCAAAAATAGGGTTTCATGTTTTGTTTTGGTTTGGTTTTTACCCAGTTTTTATTTTAAAGGTACTAAACCACATAATTTAAAGATTTGAAGTTTTTTTCTGTTTTTTTTTTTTCGTGGAAATTTACTCTCTACTCTTGTCTTTCCTCCTGCTCATTTGGCTATAATAGTTTTTAAAGAAAAGCACATGTTTTCTACCTCCTTATTCATAAGCATCACTTATTCACCCATCCCTTCCTTCCCACAAACTACAACTGTGTTCCAGGCCTCTGCAGCTTAGACTCAGTAGGGTGAGAAGGAAGACAAATAATAAACAGTATAGCATAAAGTAAGTATATGTGCTAGAAGGTAAAGAAATAAGGAATTATGGAGTGGGGTAGCCTGAATAGGCCTCATTTGAAGATGCGATTTGAGCAAACACTTGAAGTAACTTAGTCATACAGATAACTGCAAAAAGAATGTTCCAGGAAGACAGAATGGCCATTATAAAATACCTAATACAGACTATACCTGGCTTTTTGTTTAAGGAACAGGAAAGAGGTTAGATTGGCTCGAGAGGCAATAAGGGCAGGGGAGAGTAATAAAAGATGAAGTAAGAAATTATGTAAGACTTTATAGGCTATTCATTGTAAGGACACTAGCTTTTATTCTGAATGCAATGAGAAGTCATTAGAAGGTTTGGAGCAAAGAAGAGACACGGCATAAGTTTTTAAAAGGTCTGACTGCTGTGTTTGAGGATAGACTGTAGTGTACTGAGTGATACAAGATCAAATGATGAACCTCCATACTGTTTTCCTTAGTGGCTGTACCAGTTTACATTCCCACCAGCTTACTAACCAATGCCACCCCAAGAAATTTAATCATAGTAAAAAAAGATCAAATGAAAGACAGTGTGGTAGTTCAGAGGGGTTAGACCAGGTTCATAGTAGTGGAGATGGTAGGAAGTGGTCAGATTGACCACATCCCAGCCAAACCAAAATAAAAGGCACCTAGATCTAACAGAAGCCAGTAGTAATCTTGTTATGAATGAAAACATTTTGACTTATTCAGAATTTGTTTTCTTTTTAGTATTGATTGTCTAGCTCAGTGTTTGGCAAACTTTTTCTGTAAAAGCCATGGCCTTTATTATCTCTGTCTCAATACTCATCTCTGTCATTGCAGCAAAAGCAGCTGGAGATAACATGGGTGTGGCTATGTTCCAAAACTGCATTTAGAAAAACAGGCCAACCCCTGATCTAGCTTATAAANGAAAACTTATTACAAAGTGGAATTTATACTTTGTCTTGAAAACGAGTAAGATTGGTTTGCAAAAATAGGGTACAGTGTATTCCAAAGGGAATAAAAATTAGGAGAAAGGCTATGGATATTTCAGGCACTTTGAACGATTCCTATTAACTATAGGAAAGGTTGCTGAAGTCGGAAATAGAGTATAAATTAGCAAAACCCTCTTATTTGTAACCTGGAAGGAACACAACCGATTTTTTGCCCTTTTGTTTTAACTTCAAAGGTCAGCGAATGTGAAGATCACTTCTTTTTTAAGCAGCACAAATAGAAGTTTTCACACATGCTAGATTTAACGGAATGCCTGTCAATGATTAAAACCTGGATTTGAGTTCAGGCATTGCTCATACACTCTACTCTCAAAAAGCGAAAATGAAATGCTCTACCATTTACAAACAGGCTGCTTTCAATCTGTTTTCCTATAAATAGCCTCATAAATCTGCATTCCAGCTGGTAGGAACACTTCTAATGTGTATCACGCCACCCTCTTCGGTATGTTCTTAATAGCCTCTTCAACTTTATATGATTTATATTAATGAGGCACAGAGGCTGACGGCCTTCAATTTATTGAGGGCTCTCTACACAGCCATGCGTGTTTCCTCATTGAAACTCAACGATAGTCTTACAGTTGTAGTTTAGAGTCACTGATAATACAAATTTTAAGGAACAGACTAGGGCCTGGGCTTTAGGGCTTGGGTCTCAGAGACTCTAGCTAAAATCAGAGCAGAGCTAGATGGAGGAAGTGGTTCAGGATGTCAGAAATACGCCGGCGCCCATGGGATGAGGTGTACCTGCGAACACAAAAGCCACCACTTCATTTACAAGTGTGACCCCCGAGCTCACCACGACCAGCGGCCTTCACATCGGTCCGCGGCTCTTTCCGCCCCCACTTCCACTTCCGGGGGAGGGTGCTCCCGGGCCCTCCGGGGGTGTGGGCGTTCGCGAAACAGGAGCCGGAAGTTGCCCGGGCACTTCCGGTACGGGAAACTCTTAGCTGCCGGTCCGATCGGGCTTGACAGGCGGGTCCTTGCTTGTAG